ATTTTTGAAGTTGACCAGAACCAACTTTCCTAGTAACTAATGGTAAATATCTGCTGATTATTTTTAACGGAATTTGTTCTGTGTTCTGGGAAAAAAAGTATTTCCTACTTATTTTTTATTTCTCTGAAAGGACTAGCATACCATTGGCCGTACAAATGCTTAATAAATACTCACTAATTGGATTTGAGCAGACAATGTGGAGCTATTTGCAGAGAATGTTACAGTTTATAGCCATGCTTCTTGACTTGCATTAGTATTGTGCTTTAATTACGATAGCCCTTTGGCTATGGATGCACTTTAGAAAGGCCTGTTCTGAGTGTTTCCAGAAGTCAACAGAATCAGTTATATCCGTTTTCACTTTTGTTTCTCTAGCTATGTCCTCATAGGCAGATATTTTATCTGTGCTCCATCCAAACATTTTAATTAGCCAAGATATGCATTTAGGAGGAAACAAACAAACAAACAAACCTAGAAGCATTTCTCAAACAAGAATCAAAGAATACCAGCATTGTAACTGCCCTGACAACATTATTTTGGATACTCAAGCCAAAAATATATATGTTTAAAAACATTTCCATTCATTATTGTTAGTGGGAGGAGCACCTGCTTTTATAGGCATTTATAAAAAATGTTCTTGCTGTCAGAACAAGCTGCTTCCATTTATATTCCTTATCTGAAATGTTTTTCCATGAAGTCCTTATGGTCAGAGGTGTTAACCACGCATGATGGCCCTCAACACTCCCAGGAACCAGAATAAAATGTAATTTGGAAATATTTAGCTAAAAATAAAAATATAATAAAATATAGATATGATATATTTTAAAACTAAGTCAGTATGTGACTTATTGTAATGATATTTAGGTATCGATTAATGGCCCATTTCTCTTTGAGTCTGACAGTACTGGTCTAGGCCACTACATTTTGTCTCATTTACACCATAGGTTCATAGATTTCAAAGTTTAAGTAACCTTAGGGCTCATCTTTTCCAACTTGAAAAATTGAGGCCTTGAGAGGTTAAAATGACTAGTACAAAATTAAGGTTGTAAATAGCTGAGTTTCGATGTGAGCCTAAGTCTTCTGGCTCCACGTCCATTTGTTTTCACTAAACCACATGGTTGGTTTTCATCCTCATTTTTCTGTTTCCCCTGTTAACCTGTAAACTTCTTGAGGTTGTGTTATCCATTTCAGATTTTTGTGAGCATAGTATATAGTACATTTCACCTCAGTAATAGCTGTAGATTGACCAACAAAATGTGTCTGGAATATTCTATTGTGCTAGTCACACAATAATTTTGTCTGTATGATTTTTCTTATGACTGTAATTACCCAGTTTTGCATTGTTTTTGAAAGTTATTTTTCTAGCTTTTTGTCATTCAACCTGGTATTTAAAGACAATTCAACATAAACCCATCCAGTTTGTGTTTGGTTAGTGCTTGGGGATAGTATATCAGTAAATGAACAAGCATTAGGCCCTGGAAATATACAAACAAAAATGAAACCATCTCTCTCTTCAAATGGCTTATATTTTATTGAGTTGAAATAGCATGTTCCCAGATAAGTAATTCCAAAATATATGGAAAATAAAGACACAGTCATCCTTTAGGGAGAGGCATTAGAAGCTAGAGGTGGGAATCAGCTTAAGCAAAGCTTTGAAAGGATTTGGGATTGGAAGAAAGAGACAGAGATGAAGGAAAGTATTCCAGGTATGGAGGTGCAGGGGACAGCCTATGAAAAGGCAAGGAGATGCATGATGCTCTATGTGAGGAAGAGCAAAAAAGCAATTTTTCTGTGCCCTAAAGAATGTGAAAGAGAGTGATATATAATAAGCTTGAAAACATAGGTTGGTGTGCATATACATATATATATATATACATGTGTATGTGTATACATATATATGTGCGTAAACACACAAATACTTTATTATTTTTTCTCTCTTTTCCTTATGACTTACCATTAATTTTTCTTCAATCTACCAATCCCATCTCCAGAGAACTTCTCAATATTTTTTAATGCTGTTGTTCAGTTCTCAGCTGGAAAGGTGGGTGCTCTTTCAGATTTAACTTATTTTTAACTTTATGGCATCTGAGTTTTTATTTTTAAGTCTTTAAGGTAACCAATTTCAACAACCAGTATTTCAAGCCACACACAGCTCACTCCCTCAAAACTGACCTATAAAGTAATTTGACTTTTTTAAAAGTGCTTGTTTTCTCAGAACTGACAAGTTCAGTTTTGTCACAACTGCGTCACAAACATCAAAGTGTACTTGTGCTTTGCTCACTGTGTGAAACCTTATCCACTGGTTATCTATAACCATAGCCAAGATCTATTTGATGCTGTGTGTGTGTGCGTGTTTGCTGTTTTTTTGTTTTGTTTTGTTTTTGTTTTTTTGTTTTTTTAGTTACCTGGTAATGAGGACCCTTTTACCAGCCTATTGGGAGTTTTGCCTTGGTTAGGAGACAAAGTTTGGGTAACAGTCACTGGTCTCCCTTTCCACTTAAAATATGTAGCATTTTGTCTCTAGAAAATGACGCAAATACAGAACTTAAATATCCTACCCTGGTTATGTGGCAAAAAAGAGGAAATGGGGACCTGATGCTGTACAGCTGAATTCCCCTCCATCTAGAGTTTTATATATAGCTTTTAGCAACTTTAAAGTCTCTTTGGACAAATGGTTTTCAAATATAGAGCATTTTCATTCTTCTCAAATTAAATTAAAATTTTAAAGGTAATTTGCCAATTTAAGATCAGAGTAAATCTGTTTAGGCTTATAAAGAAGCTATTTCTGGAATTTTGTATTTGTGGCTGTATGTCAATTAGCTAGCATGGAAGTTTTCTCCATTTGGGTGTTAAAATAATGATAAAGACATAGAGACTAGACTTGTGGTTTCACTGGTGTAGAGAATGCCCAGAATAGAAAATTGCTTTTACCCATGCAGGTTGGCACTCTCCATGTAATGTTTGGTCTTAGAGAGTTACCTAGAGCAGAGGTGTCAAACTCTTTGACTGCAAAACTCCGGGATGTGGACAGAACTAGATTACAATGTAATTGGGAAATGTTTAACAAAATAAATAAACATAAAATACAATATAAATAATGTTAATTTATGGTTTTCTATGTCAATATGCAGCCTGTAGGGAATGCTTTCTATTTGAGTTTGACACTAACCTAGAGCAGTGACAGGTTAAGTGCCTTGCCCAGGATCACGTGGCCAATGTATGTCAGAGGACACGTTTGGACCTGTGCTCTTGGGCCGCTATACCACACTGCTTCTGAGAAGCAGATAAAAGATATAAAGATAATATGCAAATAACCTTCACCTAAGGATTAAACAATCTTGAAATTATGAAAAAAAATCATTCTTTTTCCCTTTCAGTTAGTTCCTAAAAGGTTTCATGGCATCATCAAAAAAAAAAAAACCTGCAAAAATCCCCAAGATTTAATGAGTAATATATTAAAAGTAGGACTTTGAACATATGTAACAAATAGATGTGTGTGTATATATATATATATATATATATATATATATATATATATATATAAACACAGAGAGACTAAATGAAAAATGGACTTTTGTGCCCATAAATATGTATTTGAATTGTATCTTGTTAATCTAATTTTGCAAATGAATGTTACCCTAAGTATGTATAAATATTATGCAGTAGAATGCAAACTTCTTGAGGTTAGGGACTCTGCTGGTCTTAGTATGGAGATTAATAGACATTGAGTTGAATTCAGTTTGTTAATTATATTTGGAAATTATAAATAAATTCTTGTTGCCTCTTTATACAATTTCATATGTCATAGTGGAAAGAGTGATGATTTTGAAATTAGAGGAGTTTGGGTTTAAGTCCTCCATCCAATCCTTAATGACTCTGTGACCTTATGCAAGTCATTTCAGTAATTTAGGTGTAATCTTCTTTAGCCTTAAAATAGGCATAACAATGTACCACTTGACTTCATTAGGTTTTTATGAGGAAGCTAGTATAGTGTTAGACCTGTGATTTCATTAATATAGGGAACTCCAAGACAAGGCACTCACTTGTATTGATACATATTCTATTCATCTTGAGGGGTTGTTAGTAAGAGGAGAGTGACTTGCCTAGGGTCACACAGCCAGTATATATTAAAGACTTGCAGCCAAGTCTTCCTGACTTCCAGGCTAGTTCTCTTGCCAGTATCCATGCTGTCTTTCTGTTTGTAAGGAAAGCACATTTTTTAAAATGTTAAAGTGTCTTGTTATTATGAGTTATTAATATTGTTATTGACAATATTAAAATTCATTTGCCAGCTGAATTTTATTAATTTGCCATATTTTTGTTAATTGATTGTGTCTCTCCAAGGGAAAATATGTAATAAAATTTAAATGACAGTCAAAAAAACCAAGTTTGACATTGTGTAGACAAACTACTTGGATTATTCAATAATTGATCACTTCCTAGCATATAATAGGCCCTATATAAATGCTAGTTAATATTACAATTAATTATTCAGGTATTTTGTAATACTTTAGACTTAGCCATGAATTATGTTACACCTCTGCCCTTTCTCTTTCTGTCACAGTCTGTTGTCAGGGAGGTGATTCTCTGTAATTGATAGAACTGTTGTCTTCACTTTGAGATTAAAATTCCAGTTTAGTAGTTATTTAACCACATCCTTTGTTCCTCTGACCATCTATCAATCGCAAGCATCTATCAAACACCAATTATATACCAGACACTGTTCTAGGAACTGGGCATACTTAATACAACTAACAAAACAGTACCTACTTGTAGTGACAAACTGAGATATAATTTGACAGAAAAAAAGAAGCAAAAGAAGAGCAAAGTGAGCTGCATTTCGTAGAAAATCTATAAATCTTATGGCATGTTTCTGTTTTTGTAAGCATGTTATAAAGAGAAACTTTTAATTTTATTTAATTTTAGCTAACACAATCTAGTTATTTCAGGATTCACTATGTGTCAATTTACCAACTTCTTTTTCTCCCTATTTTTCCCCCCAGTTACTGGCTGACAAACAAAGTACCCATCAAAAGACCCAGCACTGGCCTCCTCATGTACACGCTAGCTACACGATTTTGTGATGAGATTCACCTCTATGGATTCTGGCCGTTCCCTAAGGATTTAAAGGGAAAAGAAGTAAAATATCATTACTATGATAACTTGAAATACAGATACTTTTCCAACTCAAGTCCTCACAGGATGCCATTGGAATTCAGGACTTTAGATGGGCTACATAATAGAAGAGCACTAAAATTAACCACAGGAAAATGCATAAAGCAATAAAGCACATTTTTAAAAGACAACTCAAACTGAATATGCACTTCATTCTGAGGATGTTTGTATGAGAATAAGATGCAGAACAGAAGATAGGTTTCAGTATCCACTAAGCTTCTTGGGGGGTTAAAGGGGGGACGGTTATGAGACATCCATTACCAGCTGATGAAATGCCTATGAAGTGCTCTAAAAATTGTATGTTTTGACTGCAAGGATCCTAGTAAGTGCCACTTCTACTCAGAACACAGCTTGAATGTATAATCAGCAGTGTTTACAAGATCCAACAATGCATTTACATTTAATTAAAGAAGATACAAATGTGTTCATTACTGCTGGACTGCCCCCACCACGTCAAGCACATTTGAGGAAAAACTAAGGAAGACAACTCTGCCTTTGGGGAAATCAGAACCTTCCTTGTCAGCAGAAACTGTGATAGAGACAGTTAAGCAGGGCAACCCATAAGATCAAACAACTCAAGTAAATGCCTTCAGTCAGGAGTTTGTGTCTAATCATGTATTATAAACTAACATTTGTTTTCATTGTTCTTTTCTTCTGGCATCTATTTGCTTTGGTATTTTACAGATCTTGAAAGATCCTAAACAGGATGATATGTACAGGGGGAAAAAAGAAAACTAAGAATTGTCAAAAAATGTTTTTAAAGTTATTTTTAGAGATCTTAGAAATGCTCAGAATGTTTAATAATGAACAACTGTAAACCTCTAAATTATTTTGGATGATGAAAAGGTACCAGCTAAACTATCCAAACAGTAATCTTGAGCCATTCCAAACGGGAGATTTCAATGTCTATGCCATCTGCAAAGATAACAATTAACAAGGAGTTATCCTTATGTTTGGTACCAAAGAATATACTGATTTTTCTATGTAAGTAATGTTTCTCTTCATTGAAGTGATTAATTTGTTTAAGTACTGTGTTGTTATATGATTGATTTGAAAATGCTATTCAAATATTTTTAATTAAGAAAGATAATACTTTATATTTTGTTTCAATGATGACCTGAAAATTTCTTATATTTCCTAACACATTTCTGAGCAACATTTTGCTCTTCTAAATGGAATGTTTGTTAAATATCATGAATTAAAACTTGGGCTCAAGTGGTTTAAGGATTCCCTTACTTAAGTGAGGATATTAGCATTGCTTAATTTCCTCTGTAATACAAAAATAATATGATCTAGAGTGTGTTGATATCCTAGAAGTGGTAGATAATTTTATGCAAGTTGACAAAGAATTTCTATATCAATATTTTGCAATTCAAAGGAAATAAGTAACCTAGAACATGTAATAGTTAAATTAGTCATGATTTCACTTTAGGAAATAAGAAATGAGAAAAGAATATGAAATGAGATAATAAATAAAGCAAAATACATTTTTTATTTAAATAAGTAGTAGAGTTGGGCAATTTGCCCGTCATCTGTTAGCTTAAATCATGTTGTTAAATAATTTGGAACTTTATTGCTTTTTTGGAAATAAAATAGGAAAAGTTCTTCATTCCCTGTTCTACTCTGTTTTACAACATGAAAAATATACTTTATCTTTGTCTTCTAGTCTCCTAAAGAAGGCAGACTGAGGTGAGGTAAAATGGCAAGAATTTGTATGTGTGTGTATACACATACACACGCACGCACACACATGCACACACATGCACAAACATATACATATTATAGATATACGTGTATAAGTGTACATAGCATATAAACACTGTAGTATACCTATGTATATGCCTGTGTTTACATGCACATGTGTATACATGTGTAAATGTATGTGTATGTATATTTACATATACATACACAATATGCACGTACACATATATACACACAAGCCTATATCCACATGTCATGAAGAAGGTATATATACAAATACATAATAAATACTTAATAAATGTTTATTGGATACAAAGAGAGAAAGAATAAATTATTTTGAAAGTTCTATCTGGAAAAAGGCCAGTCAAATTTCAAATATTACATATATGGATGCATATATATGTATATTTATGTGTATATGTGTATGTGACTCAGATACTTTGATGGATTTGTGATACATGAGTAAGTATTCCCTTCCTTTGTATTAAGAGCAAGAAACATTTATTAAGTACCCATTGTATGTAGAGAACTATATATGGCAACTCCTCCATACTTCATTTATATTATATGATTTTTGTCCGTATTTTCCATACATTTTTTATAGGGGACCTGCTCAGCAAGCATCTTCTTTTTCTTTTAATATTTAGTGGTTACCAGTCTCCCACACTGGCTGAATAGCTGTTGTCCCTCAATTTAATACTTGACTGGTTTGCCTCCTTTTGAAATCATACATGTCTTGATGATATGTACATAATATATGTGTTGTCAACTTTTTTCTCCAACCAGACCTGCATTTTCATTGATTTTGGGGGCTCTGTGAGGAACTTCCTTTATCAATGAAGATAATCACTTTCTCTTCAACTTAAAGTCTTAAAGAGTTGCCTGGGCCACTGAGATATTAAGTGTCTTGCCTAGAGCCACACAGCCAGTATTGGTCAGAGCTGGGATTTTAATTCAGAACGTCATGATTCTAGGACCAGCCCTCAATCCAGCATGCCACATTGCCTTTCTCTGTCTGTCTCTCTCTTTCCCCCACCCCCTTCTCTGTGTGTATGTGTATGTATGTACATCCATATGTATGTGTTATATACATGAACATATGTATATAATATACACACATGTACACACATACACTACAGAAAAATTTGTATATGTGCAATTTGTTTCTACATCTATACACACATATAGCCAGAAGGGACCCTAGAGACCAATATTTTCATTTCACATGTGAAGAAACTGAAACCCTAGAGAGTAACTTGTCCATGATATATCACAAATACTAAGAACCAGAACCACAAGTAGTAAAGGAGTTTAGCTTAGTGAATAGGGAGCCAGCCTTGTAGTTACCAAGACCTGACTTCAAATCCTGACACATAATGGCTGTAGGACTCTGTATAAGATATTTAACCTCTCAAGGTTCCTGATAAAGTTTTGCAACAATTGTTGCTCTGCCTTGGTAGAGGGAATCTTTTCACTGGGAATTCCTTATACCAATGAAATCACAGAATACATTTTTTAAAAAGGATCAAAATCAATACTACCAGTATAGACACACACAGAGCTATAATACTTATATTTTCATTTTAAAAAGTTGGAAAATCATTATAGTTAAAGGTATTTTGATATTTTATATGATATTAAAATACAGGATAAACATTTGACCTAAATGACTTTTCCTGAGATGTTGCCATTTCTCAAAAAACATAAAGAAAATAGAACCTTTCAATACCTGAAATGAAGTATAAAAGGGATGAAATTGATCCACATCATTAAAATCATTAATCATATTTGAAAAAAATTAGACGTATATTTTCACTCTGTTACTGATGAAATTGTTTGAAAAGTCAGCACTTAAGCAAATGTAAAGCAGAAAAGTTACAGAGACTATGTATTTGGATTGGGTCATACCTTGGAAATTCTCTGAATCCACTCAGAGTTCATATATTAAGTCCTATAAGCTAGGAAGGCTCATAGATACATTCAGCATATCTCTTAACCAGCAGGAAGGAAGGCAAACAAGATCCTGAATTTCTTTTTTTTCAACAAATGAATTTATGCCTGTTTTGTAAAGCCACAACAACAGCATTTCTACTGTCCACTTACCTGTGCATTGCTATCTATCTCGAAGATGAATTGAGTAGTGCCTTTTTAGCTTCTTCACATTTCTTTGTGACTTTTTGCTTGTGTTCTCCAAATATATTCTCCAGTTCTGAAAATATTCTTTCATACCAGAGTCCAGCATCAAAAACAAACAAAAAAAGGGCTTCAGCTTTGACTGAGACTACTTTTGTCAACCTCAGGGAGCTTTTAATACTCTGAAATGAATTCATTTAAGGCATTTCATGCTCAAAGTAGCAACTTGTACCATCCCATTGCATTTTCTACTATATACCTTTCCTTGTTCCCTTCTCTGTAACTATCTGCTATGGCCTTTTTTTACAGGAATAGGTCAAGGAAATAACTATATGGGCAGAGAGAGGAAAAAAATTTCTAAATATAAAGGCAAGACTGGAGAATGTAGAGTAAATCAAAATATTGTCAAATACTTGACGTATCTCATGTTGCTTTAGGGACAGTCACATATTTCTCAGCATTCATCCACTTCTGTTTCAAGATTTTAACCCTCTGCATGATACTGGAAAGGTCTGCACCAGGCAGGTGCTTAATTTAGTATTTCTGTCCTTTAACTGTAAGACTTTTGGGGGCATGAACAATTCACAATAAAACTATCATAATAATTATTCAATACACTCAGTGATAATTATAAAGTTACCAAAATACAAAGTGATCAGTCTCAGATGATTATGTTCTGTGATTTCTTGGTTAACCTTTAGTGTTTCAACCCACAGTAATGGATGCAACTAGGTAAATTATGAACAAGTCTAAAAATTACTATGGACATTCTATCTGGGAAGGGCAGAAAGGGCTGGTTGCTCAAACTAATCCTTATGTTGTATATCATGTGAATTCTATATCAATTGCTAATGGGAATATTTACATTTATGCTTACCAAAAAAAAGTTAGCAAAATCCTAGTAATAGTGTATATACCTATTAGATATTAAGATATTACACAGAGAGTGTACAAAGGAATTAGTTTTCATTTAAAAATTAGTCACGTGCACATGACTTGATATTTGGTCCATAGGAAAAAAAAAATAGGTGTCTACTAGTAGGGAATATTTATCCTAATTCCAGATCCTAGAACAGTGCCTTGTACAGAGAAGGCGCTTAATACATATTTGTATAATTTCTTTTTTGAATTAGGGAAAAGGCATGGGATAAATATGTATTAGTTATCTTTACAGCCTTGGAAAAATTTCCTCATCAATCATTATACATTTACCAGCTATTTAAAGAATTGGGCATTAGAATAATTGAATTTGTTTTGGGAAAAGTACAAATGAAATCCAAACAGAAATGTACATTTCACTGTATGTGTGATATACACATATGTAGTACCAATAGATGTGCGATTCATCTATATTCCCATTTATATGTATATCCATGCATTTACAGGATGTCCCAAAAGTTTTAGTTCACTGATACTTTTGGGACACCCTGTTTATGTATGTGTTTATAATTGATGTGTCTCACATTTATACATCCATAACATGCCCGTTCTGGAGCCTTGTTGTAATGCTATATTTGAGATGCATACTCCTTTTGGTAAGACTGATTATGATGCAAAGTATCTTGGTATTCCTGTTGCCATTCTTCCTTTAGGCTTCCACTATTCTTATGAATAATGTTAAAACAAGGTTTCAGTTTGTTTAAAATATTTTTAAAATCTTAAGGCTGAAAAATTTGTTCAAACTACAGTTTGTAGATTATGGATACAGTATTTAGATCACTAATTTCAATTACACATTAAAATTGTATTTATTTGTGTAGGCAAAAGCACAAGTGATTTAAATGGATATAACACAGGAAAAGAGTTTACAGAAAAATAACATTGCTTCACAGTACTGTTGCTACTGAGCCCTCCAGGTTCTGTTTGTAGAACTTAAAGAGTTAGGGTATATTCTGTCAAGGACTATCCTGTTTGACACTGTTTTCCTCTTGTTCTGTGTATAGCATTTGGTATTATTGTTTTATCATTTGTACAATTGCTAAATAAATGAAATCTCTTTTTTCCATTTTTTCTTCTTCTTTCTTATACATACTGAGCTTCATTTAGTGGCTAACCTCTTCGTAGATTTTAATTTTGCATATTTAAAAATCTTTTAGGAGGACACTTTCTTTCCCCAATCTCAATATTTTACTACTTTTTACGTTCTTTAATAAAACAAAATCTATAATCTGGAAGATATAAACATTATCAAGAAACCGCTGTGGGAATTGGGCAAGATTTGTCTCAGTGACAGAATATGTTAGGACTGTTGTGACAAATATGTTTTATCATTCCTCACTCCAGTTAGTTAAAAGAAAGGATCTTCACAGGAACACGTACACGAACGGTAGCTGTCCATATTTCAAAATGATGTCGCTAACACTTACCACTCTGTGTGTGTATGTGCCTGCATGTCTGCAGCTAAAGAAGTCAACAGTTCCTCCCATACTGCAGCCCCTTGAAGACTGCCCTTTGATTTGTGACTACAGCTGCAGTTTCTATACTTGTCACCATTTGGTATTCTGCCTCCAAGGAGAAGATTCAGGGGGAAATGCACTTTTAACTCTGTTGCCATGGGATACTGTAGCTGGCAATTTTAAGTTTGTAGACCTTGCACTGATTTCCACAGCACAGAAGCGGAGGAATTGGAATTCCTTAAGGTTGTTATTGCCACCCTTGGATTTTAAAAGCAACCCATTAGGTTATTGAGTAGAGGTCTTCCCTGTTTGGTTGTAATTAGGAATTTTTGGATCTGGGAAAGAGGCAGGAAAGTCACCCTTAGGTGGGCTGA